ACATAACTAATACTACTTATAAATACAATTCGTATGTTTTATTATATTCGAAAATTAATTACAATAGCAGTTAATACAAAAATAAATAGAAAAGAAAAAACAAGTTGTATAGATGTGTTCTGTTTGCAACGTTAAAGAGAAATTCTTTTACATGTTTGATTGTCAATGATCGGTACAATATGACTTCTGATGACTTCCCATAAGTTAGTTTTTTCAGTTCCATTTTAGTCGTATATTTTTCTCTTCGACTTTTTTTCATCACAATGCCATCTATTAGAGGATACACTTGATATAACGAAAATAAATACTTTCGATGAGCCCATTTGAGAATTTTGAAGTGAGAATTTTGTCATTTCCCGAGAACTCCGCATTCAAATGGCGGAAAACATCGACGAAGAAACTGCACCCGAAGTTTGAGGTAAAAAGCAATGGACTTAAAAGATGATCAAAATTGTCGCACACAACTTTTATTAAGAATCGCTGGAAAGTAGACCTTTTGTCGCCTTCTTCAGCAGAAGATACTGCCCTAGATGGTGATATAATACAACATTGGATTTTCCTCTAACTCCAGTTCTCCAAATTTCTGAAGAATAGTCGAGAATCACTCATCAGCACCAGCTCCTTTAAACTTAGAGACGGGGCTTAACACTTGTTTCTGAATTTATTTTTTCTCTTTCATTTGCATTTAAAGAATTAGATATTAAATAATCGAAGTATGAACGAAGTTGTTTCTTAAATTGTTGCCAATCAGTTTTAAAAGAAGAGAGATTTTCATCATACCAGTCACAAAGAAATTCATCCAGATAATCATAAGACAATGAAGTCCACAATCTCTATTTATATTTTAATGTTTGAAATATTGACTTAACGTTCTTCAGCCACGTAAATAGCGAATTCATGTCGTCATGAACAAGAATTTTAATATTCTCCAATTCTTCTTCTTTTTTGAAATTGTTAATATACTCATTTCTATTTGCTATTGTTGTTAAATTATTTGAAGATTCACTTAAAGAATCATCTGGAGCAGCCATAGCCAATGAAAAAGATGCCGGCGATAACAATTTATTCGTTGTTGTTTTTCGTGTGGTTTTGCAAGAGAAAAGTCAAAAAAGAATATGTAGACGTTAAATCACGATTTGATCGTAATAAACGACTCATATGTCATGGTAAAACAAGTTCAGTATTAAAACAAATCAATTTTCATAATAAAAAAATAATTAATTTAAAAAATATCCAATACAGTGCAATAATTATTCATAATTAAAATTAATTACTATTTAAGTCAATACACACACTCGAAATAATTATGCCTAATTAGCATGCAATCTTAGCCATGATAAAAAAAACGGTTAACATACCTAACTTGTATAATTCGAATATGTAAACGAGTATGTAAATAAATATGTAATTAAATGATTTGATGAACAAACAAATACGAAAATTCCCTCCAGTGTTAGTAACCTTGCACTGCTAATATAAACTGCCCGTGTACTAAAGCCAAGGTCTAACGAATAGTACGATTATGTGTGGCTCATTAGTTTTATATAATCCAAATTGAAACGAAATGTATAAAAGACTACTATAACACATACACATATAAACACGTGCTCCACTCAACACAACAACAAGAAACTAACGAAATGCGTGCATATATATACTACTGCAATACAAGGGAGAAAAACGAAATGAGGGTCTAAAATTTTATCTAATTTAACTACCCAGGTGAAAACGTCCGGTCGGATCCCGAAGGATCTGTGTCATTCCGACTATTTCCGGCTGTCTAAAGTGTGACCGGACCCGGTGAGCGGATTCCGTTCAATTTCGGTTCCTTCCGTTATAATCCAATGTCTGGAATTAAGATGGATTTGATTACCGGATCCTATGACTGAACCGTTCGAATCTGACAATCGGAAGTGAACGGATTCATCCACCTACAGCTCTTTCTTTTCTCTCTTTTCTTTCCTTTTGCTGCTCTGTACGGTGAATAAACTCACCCATTTATTTTTCGGTGTCTTTAGTATAAATATGACAATGTAGAACGTGAAACACGAGATCTTTTTCGGCAAGTTTTCGCACTAAACAGTGTGAGTCTGATTCACACTCACTGAGTCATCGAACCTCATTGCTGTTCGAAGACGTGGGACTCAGTCAGTCAAACATGCTTGCTGATGCTATATCTGATGGTCCGATCCTTTCCACACAATTTCCGATCGGAATCCAGGCAATAGGTTTCCGATGTAATCCATCACAAATCAGGACCGATTTTGTCGGAATCCGATGCCTTCCGGTGTCTTCTCACGGCGGATCATGATGCAGGAATGAACGACCTGGGTATATATAAGTAAAAGAAAGTCTAACTTAACTAAATAGGCAAAATAAATAAATAAAGAGAATGATCGATGACCGCACTGTAAAAGGGCACTGTATGATTAATCTTGTATGATTTTCTGTTTTTTTTCCACTGTAGAAAAGAAAATCAAACGTGATGCGAGATCGTCTTGTTGATTTTCTCCTCTTGGTTGCTGAAATTTATTGACTATCAACAGGAAAGCAGCAGTTGCTATTCACAAGTGGTATCCTCCGTCCGCGGTAGTATAGTGGTTAGTATCCCCGCCTGTCACGCGGGAAACCGGGGTTCGATTCCCCGCCGCGGAGATCGTTTTTTTATTCAATTAAAATATTCATAAAAGTAGAATAAAAGTAAATTCATATCTTCTGGTTAGGTATGCATTTTGGTATAGAAATACCGAACTTCGGTATATAGCAATATCGAAAATACGACTTTTTTAGATTTGGACTTTTTTTGATTTTTTCATCTGAAATGAGATAGTTTAGCGTCATGGACAGTCAGAACACAAAAACATTCTGCTGTATATGCTGAGCATGTGTAATAACAACTTATATGGAAAATAAAGGAAAACTCTGGCCTTAGAAAGCAAACAAAGCTCTTGTTTTGCATCCCTGATTCTTTCTGGATGTCCAGGACGCTAAACTATCGAATTTCAGATGAAAAAATCAATAAAAGTCCAAATCAGAAAAATTCGGTATTCTCGGTATTGGTATATTCGGTACATGGACACCGGTGCATATCTACTTCTGGTTAATCGGTATTATAGGCATATTATGAGACATACAGTGAACTGATGTTGAGATAGAGATTTCTAAAAAACCCGGTTTTCTAGAAGCGATCTTAAAGTTACTTTCAGAAGCCTTTCAACCATATCATTAGATGGCTCTTTCAATTCTCATTTATTCAAAACCCACGTTGATTATGTCGACGCCAAAAAAGAAGTGAAGATGTAATTATAGGGAACCCGCTGTCGGATTCACCGACAAATTTTGCATTTGGCGCCCAATTTTTATCCAATTTTCTAATGGGTTAGGATTAGGTTGCCAAATTTTGTATAGGTTAGGTTATAGGTTGCCAAAAACTGGTAACCTGCAGGGCTCTGCCTTCCAGATGTCATACTTAGTTTTGAAATAAATTGATGATAAGTTGAAAAAAATCGATGAGAAACTACCAAAACACACGTTACCGGGAAATGGGATAATGAAGGTGTCTTTGTTGAGCTTGAATATTTTTTAGAAAACAAATACAATTCAAAATGTACTTATAGAGGGTTATAGAGAATTTGACGGACTATCCGAATCTCTGATTACTTTTCCAAACATAACAATTCATTTACAACAAAAATCTGGTTTTGATTGTTCAAAAGGAAAACCGTGCGACATTACGATGCGCACTTGAAATGCTCCACGGTTGTATGGTTCTGTCTGTGGTAATACATATTCTTATATGCAAAATTTTTTAAATTGCTCATTATCTTCTGAACTTTCGTAATGAAAATATGATTGAACAACAGAATCTGTTCGGAAGTTTTCTAATTCTAATCGGCTAAAAGATTCGCGGAATTTATATGATGTTTCATTATTTCACGTAAACAAGCAATTAGATGCACAATACAAGCAAAGGAGCGAATGTCAGCAAGGATTTTCTCGAATCCGCTGATGACTTTTCTTACACTGCCAAACTCCGTTTTAATGAAGGACATATGAAACTGATAGAGCTCGTCGAGTTCTATCTTGGTCCGTCGTCGGTCTAACTTGGTCCCTTCTTGAGCGAATTCATTCAGATAATACTGGAAACCGGATCTACGATATCCTGTGTATATGAAAGCGATATTGAAAGATATAATTCGACTATTAAAACAGAATTCGATGATCATGGTTGCTGCTGCAACCTACACGAGAAACTACATCGGATAAAACAATTTGCTCGGTGTTCGCAACTCATGTATTCTGTTGTTGGCGCACGAAGATGTTTCTTTATCTTTGACATTAATTTGAATACACATCTGTTTGCATCGTCAATACTGCACTTCATTTCGCTGCATTTTTTTCTTATCTTATTCTTCTTTTCTATCTTTAATAAATAAAGGATTGCGAGGTAAGACGAATATACATTTGCGCACTGTTGTCGGGCAAAATGTTAACACAAGAACAAATTGACCGTCTATGTTTATTGTTGTTGTCAACTATTGTTGTAAAATATTTTTCATAGTATGAACAAGATGGTTTCCTTGTCCTGCAACAACTGCTGACACTTGATGAATGTCAAAAGTTGAAAATAGCAGTCGGTCAATTGATCGATAATTGGGAACCAGATCCAGTATATTCGTGGATATTTCTAAATGATAAAGATAAACAACAAGCCAGAGCACAACTAATGGTCCCTATTAAAGATGAGCTTTCATCTGGTATCGAAGAAGAGGCCATTGATCCTCAAACAGGCATTATGTAAAGAAGAAAGACAATTCTCTCTTTTTACTCTGTAATTTACATCAATTTAAAACAAAAATAATTAGGTAAACTCAATCGCGACAAACATCTGAGCGTGAACAGAATTGGCCTTGCTCTTCATAACTTCCACCCCGAATTCAATGCAGTGACATTTTCAGATAAAATCAAGGTAAAGCCTATACAAAATCCATTTTTCCAGTACTTCTATCCTTTCCTTAGGCTATTGCACACGATCTCAAATTCATAAAACCTGCCATACGTCAAACGATGTACATCTGTAAATAGCCATTTATTGGAGCGAAAGGTAAATATTGTCTGTTTATACCGAAGTTCGGTATTTTCGGTATTCGGTATACCGATACCGGTGCATACCTAGTTCTTACCTCTTCTAAAAGTTGGTGGAGTTTAGTGAAACATACGTTAGGTAGAGGTCGAACAACTGCTATTCCAGCCCTATACAATAGTCAAAAGCAAGTTATAGTGGATGTACAAGAGAAGACTGAGATTTTGAATAGTTACTTTGCAGAAGTAACTACATGGACTGGACCTAAGATCGATCCCAAGGTTGCTAATGCTTTGCAACCTCATCTTGTTAAAAATAAACTTTTATCGCCATTTCAATCTGGTTTCGTAGCAAAAGATAGCACGACTAATTTATTATTGGATGTCGTAAACAAAATAAAACTTGATATAACTGCTAATAAGTTTGTTCGTGCTGCAGTGTTAGATTTTAAAAAGCTTTTGATAACGTTAATCATGAATGTTTACTGTTGAAACTTTACAGAAAAGGTGTAAGGGGTAAAGCTTTAAAGCGGATAGGAGATTATCTGAAAGATCGTACTATTTAGACTATGCTTGACGGTAAAATGTCTCAGAAACTGCTAGTCACAAAATGAGTGCCACAAGGATCAATCATTGGTCCTTTATTGTTCTTGGTTTATATAGATGATCTACCAAACAATATAGAAAGTACTGTGAGATTATTTGCGGACGATGTAATTTTAATAAATCATGAGGATGATCNCCTCTAAATTGTGCGCTAAAGTTAAATAGAGATTTAGTTTGAATACAAGAGTGATCAGAGAAATAGCATATTCCTTTAAATCAGGCTAAGTGTGAAGCAATAACTTTCAGTTCACTAACGTAATTTTGAATCAACGCTTTTGCATTTAATAAATAACCGATAACAATGAATATTGATCCAATTGTGAGGAAAAAGAACGGAATCAATCGAAGTGACGTAATTTGATGTAGAAATTTTAACACACCAATGATTAGCACGACTGTTGTACCTATGAATAAGCAGACGGTTCCGGTGACTAGTAAACCTTGGCCTGGTTGAAACGTAATAGGAACATCTTGACATATTTGTGTATTATCGAATGCGATACATTTTTTAAATAAACTATAGGTAGAATCAAGCGTAACGTTTGATTGATCATCAGGAGTTAAAATTACTCGAATCCAAAGTGGTGTACTAATGCCAACTATTGAGAAAATAGTAGCGACTGTGCCAATAATCCCAACTATTATTGTAATTAATACATTAGAATTCATTTCTCTTAATTTACAACTATATTTGAAAATAGACGAAATAGGTGTAACATGTGGGTCTCATAGCAACATTATCTGAAAGATATTTAGATATATGACTATGATGATGAAAACTTTTTCTTTTTCAGTTTTGGTGCATATAATAAATCTCTATATGAATGAGAAACATAAAGATTATTTTCATCTCGAAACCTTCGGTAATAAAAGAGTTCAATACAAATTCACCTTTTTCAACACAGCATATATTGGATTTCCACATTTTTCTCTTTACGCAGATCAATTCACCATTAAACAAATATCTCTTTCTCTTTTTCTCTTTTCCTCTTTCTACGCAAACATGATATTTACTTGTTGTCAATTGTGATTTAGTCCTTGTAACAACGACTCGTTTAACTAGTCTTGATTATTTATTGTACCCATTTACGTAGCAACCGCTTTATCTATGATGGCGGTGAAATTTATTACATAATATCAAGAATGGTAAGGTTGATGCTTTCTTACTATAATAACGCGAACTGAAAGTTATTGCTTCACACTTAGCCTGATTTAAAGGAATATGCTATTTCTCTGATCACTCTTGTATTCAAACTAAATCTCTATTTAACTTTAGCGCACAATTTAGAGGATCATCCTCATGATTTATTAAAATTACATCGTCCGCAAATAATCTCACAGTACTTTCTATATTGTTTGGTAGATCATCTATATAAACCAAGAACAATAAAGGACCAAGGATTGA